AGACAACTCTGGGTGCTCCCAGGGGACAGGCAGGAGGGAAGGACACTTCCAGGGGCACCCCTGGAATGCCCTCCTGCTGTGGATGATGGCTCAGGGACAGACCTGCCAGAAGCTCAGTTAATCAGAGCCTTTCCAAGTCACTTTGTTTTCTTGCTCCCCAAGTCTGACACCCCTGCAGGAGGATGTCCAAAGCATTTAGCTCCAAGGAGCTGCCACAGCCAAAAAATAACAGGGTTATTAAGGTTGGAAAAGACCTCTAAGATCACCAAGTCCAACATCACCTCAGCTCCACCACCATGGTCACCACTAAACAAGGTCCTCAAGTGCCACATTCATGTGTTTTTTGAACACCTCCAGGGATGGTGACTCCACCACTGCCCTGGGTAGCTGTGCCAGTGCAAGGCCACCTTTTCTGTGAAGAAATTTTTCCTAATATCTGATCTAAACTTCCTCTGGTGCAACCTGACCCTCTTTCCTCTCAACCTTCTTCCCTGGGAGCAGAGCCCGACCCTGTCCCGGCTCCCCCCTCCTGTCAGGGATTGCAGAGCCAGAAGGTCCCCCCTGAGCCTCCTTTTCTCCAGGCTGAACCCCCCCAGCTCCTTCAGGTGCTCCTGGTTCTCCTGACCAGGCAGGCTGTGCTCTCACTGTCCTGGCTGGTGATGGACAGTAACAATCCTGGGGTTGAACAGGGCTGGGGGAGCATTTCCAGTGCTCCTCCTGTCACTGTGCAGCCCCTGGCAGGTGATTCCACCTGCCTTCATTATTTTCCTCACACCTAAAGCAGGAGCAGTCACACCTGCCTTACCTCCCCCACAGAAGGGGGGGTGATTAATTAGCAGCTGATTTATGCTTGCAAAATCCTATTAAAAATCCCCTCTGTGATACGAAAAATCTGCCCTGAGTGTTCCAGCACTGTTCCTCAAAAGGAATAGAACCTTGCAGGTTCAGGTACACCTGCTCTGGGGCTCAGTTAAACCTGGGGCTGGCAGTCCCCACCTTACCTGGGCTGGGAGTCTGGAGGCTGTTTGTGAGGCTTGGATGGTGCTGGAGGAAAGCCTTGATGGAAAATAACAGTTCCCTAATCAGTACAGGGTTTGGATGGCGTGGGATACTAAAGAACAGGCCATTCACCACTTAATGAGGATTAAAATAACTCCTGAATAGCTGCCTTATTCCCTGAGCATCCTGTTCAATGAATGAGTCACAGGATTACAGTTGAAAAATATGTTGGAATGGGAGAACAAAACCCCGACATAATGAATATCAAATGAAGGGGTTGGGGACAGCCTTTAATCTGGCATTTCCAATGCCTTGAATGACTGACATGCTGACTCTACTGGTGGCTTAACTGCTGGGTTTGTCTGGCTTGCCCCTTGCTCCAGCCCATTTTTCAGGGTCAGTGTGCCTGGGGATCGTGAGCCAGGTGCACAAACCCTCTGCAAGCAGCATTTTCACAGCACAGAAGAGCAAAGTAATTAGTTGTTGGCTGGTGTACATGAAATACAGCTGGGATTTAATGATCTATTAGGCTAAATACTCATGTGCTCATCACCTCTGAGTCCTGGCTGGGAAGAGCTGACTCAGGATGGGACCATTCCCTGGGCTGCATTTGCCCCTCTGTCCAAACTCAGGGGAAAAGGCTTTGGTGAGCACAGGGCTGGTTCCTGCCCCCAGGCAGTGCCTGACCATCCTGGAACAGCCAAAGGACATTTGCTCAGGGGTTTCCCTCTGCACTGCAAGCTGTGAACACAAGATACCAGAGGGGACAGGAGGGTGAGAAATGAGGAGCTTTGTGCTGAAGGTGTTTCCATTCTCATCAGCAGCTTCTGCTCTGCTTTCCTCCTCCCTTCAGGGGCTGCACTGCTTTCAGTTCCCAAAGCCAGAAGTGCTCTGAGACAGGGATTTTCTCTCCCTTAGTGCAGGTGCCAAAGAGGGATCTTGTCATCAGAGAAACAAACCACTTGTTACATCCTCCTCTGAAAATCTCGGCTGTGGAAGAATATTGAAAGGAGAAAAATGCTGGGGTTGTTGGAAAGGCCAGAGGGGAAGATGGCAAATAACTGTTTTTCATGAAATTCTTTAGGTTGGAAAAGGTCTCTGAGATCATCGAGTCCAATCACTAACCCATGTCCCCAAGTGCCACATCCTCATGTCTTTTAAACCCCTGCAGGGTTCGGGACTCCACCCCTGCCCTGGGCTTCAGAGGCTGATTGCTCCTCTTTGGGCCACTTCTCTTGCCATGTTGATTTCAGATTTCAGAGCACTCCCAAATACTTTATTAAATACTCTAAAACTAATGCAAAATAATGCACGATTGTCAGAACCATCACAGACCTGTTATACAGCTGTCATATATTAAAAATACCCTTGCTTTGCAGTCTTTATCAGGAACTTTATGAACAAAAAGATAGGCTGGAAAATACAGTGGTTTTTTCTGTATTTTGACACTCTATTTTTTTTTCTATTATAGAACACAATAAATCTAGAATTTTTAACAATATTCACTTAGGAAATCACTGAAAGTTAAAAAATAGGCTCTGGAGAAGACTAAAAGTAACTACCAAAGTAAAGGTGAAATCTGTGGAAATAGGTTGTGTCTTAAGAGGATCTCCTGGACAAGAGGTGTAATGGGAACTCTTTGGGGGCTATTGAAATTTTCCCGGAGTTTTGCCCCCCCTGTGCAGAAAATGCAGGTTGTGATTGTGGTGGTTTAACCCCAGAGGTAACTCAGCCCCACACCCCCCTCATCCCCTCTGCCCCGAGGGGAACAGAACTGGGGGACAAGGGTGGGGAAACTGCTGGCTTGAGGTACAGCCAGTTCAAAATGAAAAGCAAAAGTCACACAAGCAAAACAAAGAATTCACTCCCCCCCTTCCCACGGGCTCAGCCAGCCCAGGACAGCCCTGGGCTCCCTCCCACCTGCTGGGGACTGGGGAAGGCAAAGCCCATCAGTCTGAACATCCCCCTGGTGACTGCAGGGTGATTGTGCAGGGTGGGGGCAGTTGGGGACGGCTCTGGATGAAGGCACAGGAATGTCGCACATTCCACTGAGCCACCTGTGGGACATGTCCCCGGGGCTTGTGGGACAACTGTCCGGGCTGTGTCCAGAGCAGTGGTTACCGAACCCAGAGATAACCACAGGTATCGTTCTGTGGGATGCAGCACTTTGTCTTGTCCTTTCCATGTGACCCCATTTCCTCTGGAAAAAAAAAAAAAAAAACACAACAAACCTTGCAACCCTTAAAACCTCTGTCTCTCCACGTGGCTCCCTCTGTTTGCAGAGGAGCTGGGAGCACTGGTTTCCTTTCTCCCAGTAAAATACCTCATTCTTTCTGCTGGTTATTTTATCTGATCTCTGCTCCAGCTGCCTCAGAAATTTTCTATTGTGGTCTGGCAATTCAGAGCCCTGTGAATCCTTTCTTTCCCTAATGGAGTTTCCTTGCAAATAGCTTTGAACTCAGATCCTTGTCTCAACAATAGATAAGCTTCTGCCTAACTGGCACTTCACAATTAACAGCATTATCCTGTTAAACCTGAAGAGCTGTAGGAAGGCTCAGCCATCATTTTAAAGCTTTTTATTGCTTAGAAAGTGTTTACAAAGGGCTACAGAAGTGGTAAATGAAGCCCAGTGCTGCATTCAGATGCTTGATTAGCTCAGCCCCATCAAAATGCCAATAATTCGGGTTCTGGCTGTTTTGGATAGCATTTCTCAAGCAGTAGCCTCAAAATATACGAGGTTTATAGAAGGGGAAAAGGAGAAA